CAATCTGGTAGCTTGATTACTGGGTTTCCTAGGTTTTCTATTAGATCTGGGAACCATGCTCTCGCTGGCCAGTAAGGCGCGACCAAAGTCAGTTGTAGCGTCTGAGTCTGTTTGATCTTGACCAGTATACTTTTGGCAGTAGTATCGGGGTTGGAAAAGCGTAGCCGTTTAGTCCTTCCCACGACATGCTCAGTGCATCTGTTGCCCAGGCTTGAGGTTCTGGAACTGGTGAGACGAACATTTGTAGTTGTTTGTTGAACCTCGTGGCAAACAGGTCTATGGAAGGGAATCCTATTTCTCTTATGTTCCGAATGGCTTCTGGATGGAGCATCCATTCCATAGGTGACGGGTGTAGTGGTCTTGAGAGATTGTCTGCCAGTACGTTCTTGGCTCCGGGTATGTGACATGCCTTTATCCAGATGTTTGCTTCCTGCGTAATCTGGAACAACTGGAATGTGAGCTGCAACAGGCTTGGCGATCTTGTGGATCCTTGCCTTGCTGTGGAGTTGTCTGTGTGGATCATCAACCATCTTGTTGTTCAGCAAGCTCGACCATAGTTGTAAGGCGTTGATCACTGCTTTCATCTCTAGTAGACTGATTTGGAGCTTTTGTTCTGTTTGGGACCACTTTCCCGAGGCCACTCGATCGTTGAGATGCGCCCCCCATCCTTGCATCGAGGCATCTGCGTAGAGGTGTGTGTCGATAGTACCATAGTAGATACCTCTTGAGGTCTTCGGGCAGCAAGATAGGGTCGACGCTGTCTAGATGTTTTATCAGGAACTGTTGTAGTGGTCTTAGCTGTAACCTTCCTGTGTTCGTCAAGTCCTGTGCAGAGGTTAGTAGACCGAGTAGAACTTGCCATGATCGTAGTGTTAACGGAGAGGTGACTGCTGGCGGAATCATGGCTTGTATCTTGACCCAACGATCCTCTGGAACGACCATCCAATTCTCTGTAGTGATGAATCTTATCCCCAGGAATTGTAGATCTTGTTTTGGTTCCAATTCTGACTTCCTTAGGTTCACTAACCATCCTAGTTGAGTTAGCAACTTGATCGTGAAGTTCAGTTGTAGTCTGAGTAGACTGGCATCTTGGTGGACCTGAATTCCATCGTCCAAGTAGAAGGCATTGCGTAGACCTCGATGATGAAGGTATGCAACTATAGGCTTGGTTATTCGTGTGAATAGCCACGGGGCCGAAGATATTCCAAACGGTAGGACGTTCCATTGGTAGTGCTGCCCTCTGAACAGGAATCGTAGATACTTTCTTGATTCTTGATGTATCAGGATGTGCAGACCTAGGTAAGCATCCTGCAAGTCTATGCTGGCCATGTAAACTGCTGGACGGACGAGTTGTTTCAGTTGAGGTAGGTGGATCATGTTGAACCTCTCTGGTTTCAGTAAGTAGTCTCTGTTGAACTTCTCCAAGGAGTTCTTCTTTGGTACTAGAAAAATTGGGGAATAGAAGCTTGGGGTGAGATGATTCCGATCTATTATTTCTACCACATCTTTCGTGAGTAGTGCGTTGATGGCTTCTTGTAGTCTGTCTGCCTGTTCCTCTGCATACTTGAAGAGGAGTGGCTTTCAGTTGTACTTTGTATCGTTCTCTTAGTACCTGAGAGGCGTAGTCGTCTTCTAGAATTCCCCAATTCTTCCAGTACCCTTGTAGACGTCCACCCACTGTCGATAGTTTTACAGGAACGGCTGGGGGTGGAAGACTCCAGTTGTTCCGAACTCTGACAGCAATGTCTGGTACCTCCGGAAGCTCTGGGCCCGTGGCCTCTTCCTGAGTTTCTCCTGTAGTTGCCCGAAGGGCGACGAAAAGAGTCCTTCCCGCCTCTGAAGTTGGAGTACTTCTTATCCTTAGCTCTCTGTATTCCGGAATACTTGGACTTGTTATATTTCTGGGACGTATGGCGGATGACGTTGGCCAGGGTATCTATGGTTTTAATCATCATCACCTCTCTGGAGTCCTGTGTGGCTTGCTTAGCTGCATCATCCAAGAGACTTCCAAAGATGGTAGGCGTCTCCCACGGAGCTCGTAGTAGTGGCTGCGTAAATCTATCATTCCAGGAGCAGGACGCCAGTATACCCTGTCTGCGTATTAAGGTGAGCCCCGCCGAGATCGATGTGATGGTCTGAAAAGAAGAACTGATCCTTCTTTTGTGTGACGAGGGCCGAGTAGATCATCTTATCCTCTTCCGTCGTGGAATTCTGGAATTCTAGATCTTGCCAGTCCAAAAAGGACTTCTAGAAGCTGTATCCAGTTGTGATAGCTTCTTGTCATCCACTTTGTACATCTTACTCTGGGAGTCGTTCACCAGTTTGATGTTGTCATCCCTCTCAGGCGCCTTCACAAATGGTTCCATGTGATGTAGGGGGAATTTCCTCTTATTAAAAGATGGTAGTGGCTGCGTCTGGTACTTGGAAGCCTTCGCGAAGGCTGTGCGAAGGTTGTCCGATACGTTGGATATAGGCTCGATCGGTGGAATTGTGACGGAGTCGAAGTCATCATCCTTCATCATGTAGGTGTAAACTTCGTTCCTATCCTTGGAAGGAGACTCCAAGTTCAACCCGCTAGCAATCCATGCCGTTACTTCTGAGTCTGAGAAGACGGGGTCCGTAGTGTCCTGGGTAAACGAGCTGTGTCTTGTTGAAGTATCTCTGTGCGAACCTGTATCCCTTCGCGGACCTTCATCCTGGGTTCACTAACCTCCAGCTGAAGTTTCCTCCTTGTGCGAACGTCTATCCCGAGAGTGTTCTTTTGCGAACGTCTCTCTCTGGATTCTCCTCTTTGAACCTCTGTGTGGTGAGCTGTGCCTTCGCGAACGTCTGCGTTGAGGCAATCTTGACCTAGAGCGGCTAGATGTAGAGGCAGGATCCTTGGAGGTTCGCGAACCTGGACAGCGTATCATCTTGACTATCTTGTAGTATGACGGAGTCGTCCGGCTGTGGAGCCCTTCGCAGAGGTGTACGTTTGCCAACATCATCTGCAGGTGTAGCTCTGATGGGTGTAGATTCGCGCAGGCCTAGGGGTTTGCGAACGGTGTCGGCAGACTGGAGGCTCTTCCTAGTATTCGATTCTTCCTGGAATCTCTGCTCCATCATGGCCATCATCTTGTTGGTGAACTGCATCATGAATTCTCCAGGGTCGAAGTTCTGCATCTGTTGACGCTGCTGCGATGTTGTAGAAGCGTTCGCGAACGCTGATGGTTTCTGTGCCTCAACTTCTCTCCTCGAAGTAAGAGGTCTTATGTTGAACAGCTGGCCAGCTCTGACATTCGTGGGGGACAATCTCGTAGTAGATGAGGTTGACTGCATCGTTGATGTTATCGATACTTCGGGTAGAAGTATAGGGGGGTCGTCAAAAACGTATTTCTCGTGAGGCGGTACAATCTCTTCATTGAAGGATTTCTGGTGCGTAGCAGCGCTAGCATGTGTAGTTTTGCCCTCAGATCTGGTACTCGTAGACTTTTTCTGCGTAGTAGAAGAGGTCGCCGTCTTTTACTTAGACTGGGACGGCGTAGGCTGCGAGGTAGACGACCTTTTCTTAGCCCCCTTTGCCGCAGACTGGCTCTGTAACGTACTAAGCATAACATCACTATTATGAACATCAGCAGCAAGTAACATACGGCTTGTAGGCTGATCTGCAGATTTATCACATGTGACTAGAGATGCCTTTTTCACCCGATCCATGGCACGTCTATAAACATAAGACAAATATTGATTAAATTGATTGGTTAAATCAATGCAATAAATACAACGCAAGGTGGATGAACATGGATCTGTACACGAAGGACATTGGGGGTGAGGATCAGCCACGGACACACACAGCAGGATTTCATGAATTGTAAACAAGTTTACAACACGATGAAAACACGACTCAAAGTCAATAAATTTTAACAAATTTGTACAAATACTACCTAATGATTATAGCCAAAACCATACACAGCTTAATTTAGAAGAATAGGCCTAAATAGAAACGATAAATTGCCGTATACGGGACTCCAGTGCTCGCCTAACCATCCGCTTGGGCGAAAAGGGAGAGAGTGACAAGTCTGGGCACGTCACATGGTACGTTTGCGCGGGAAAGAGGAAGGGAGGTAACTCGTGGGTGAGTATTTATACGTCCGCTTCGGGAACTTCAAGGGATTCAAGTGTTCCACTACCATTCGAAAAGAAAAGGGAGATAATCAAAAGATCATGAGTCAGGATAAGGAAAAATAATAATAACATTGTAGGCTAACTTCCTTGCCTGAGAATGAACAATTTGTCCATGCCTAACTTGGACATGTTAAATTAATTAAAATCTGCAAACAGTAAAAAAATGACTCGTGTCAAGATGGTGTCTTGCTGAACTAAATCGCTGTATGAGACACGTGTTGAACAGAAGCGGCATTGAGTTTACGCCACAGTCAGCATGTATTGCACATGCTTAGTCGCCAATCTACCTGTAGCAGCCAAGTGTATGCCTCTAGATTCCCTGCCCCGCCTACTTGTCACAAACATATTACTGCGCAGGCTCATATAATACGAGTCAAGCAGTAGAATCTACTGGAAATAAGAGAGGTCTTAATGCCCATCTTAAGCAGTTGTCGTTATTTTTTACATTAATCATGGCATGCTTATTCTTATATGGAGTCAAATCTATGTAAGATCTGCCTCTCAAAGGCACGTTTCCATGATTTGAAGCATTTGGGGCACACAGACACACTTTTTCTATCCCAAAATGTTAAGTTTATTTATGTATTTTATTATACAGGTTATGTCACAATTTTCCATCTTTGAGATAATCTTTGAAATATCTTACATTTTTACAAATGATAGCTGGGGAAGTCACAACTTCATAAATGTTTTGTTAAATGCACAACTGGAAGACTGACGAGTCAAACAATATCATATGTTATTGGGTGGAGACAAACAAATATTCTTCTTGACAAGACATATTCTTCTAGTCCTGTGCAATTTTTTAATACTTTTTGTACAATGAAATATCAACTTACCTAGTAGGATCTGGAGGTTGCTGGATATTTTCAAGTGTTGTTCTGTCCTTAAAAAAAACACACAAAAAAACACATGTACTTCAAGATACGCTCTTAAAACATAGTCAAGTACCACTTTAAAAACCTTATATAACCCCGAAGTTTTACCTAAATAGAACAATTCAACTGTTTGAAGTAGTAAAGGATATTCCATTTTGGGATATTTATTATTATCAGCTGAATGTGTAATTCTATTAGTCAACCCTGAGCGAGCCTCAGCCAATCATTTATGGGAGCTATGTGTTGTCACAACAAAGTCAAGCAATCTTAAAATAAACTAGGCCATCAGCTGGCCAGTTTAGACCTACTTAGCTTCAAAATAGCTCTGTTAACAGTGTGAATACTACACCCATAGGGGGTCTAAACTACCTGAGGGAAGTTGAATCATTAGTGATTCCTGGGAGTGTAACGAACATGTTAAATATATACAAGCCACTACAATATACATTCAGTATGAGTGATGTGTTAACGAAAACCCTACAGCCAAGCTCCCACAGGTCTGTTGGAATCTCCACCAGTCTGTCCAATATGAACTTTGGCTCAGCTGTGGCAATTAAAGGGGCACTGATCCAGAGTGATTAATGTTTCTCGCCAACAGTCTAATTACGAAACCTAGCTGCAGGCTAACCAGGATCTGCTCCCCAGACCGTGATGGACAACGCGACTGGGCTACTGCATGTCCACCTTGGCAGAATTTCTTCAACCTTACAGTTGGACATTAGGAAGGGTGCATGCCAATCAGATGCCGTTATTTGAAAATATCCGCGGGAGTTCTTGTTTGATTGTAATAAAGTATCCCAGCAGTGTAGGTTTTTCGGATTTTCTTATGCCTGGATGGTATAGTGACTGATCCAATTTGATGCTATTTATGTATTTTTTACCTCGATATTAATTTTAATCATGTCAATATTATGCCTATTACCTACGATATTAAAAACATACATTTGATTTCTTTGAATCCGTAAACTAAACAACCCCACTTTGCCATTGCTAGAAAAATCTGAAAATTTACTTGGGTAAATAGGTATATACAATTTTTTAACTTATACACAAAAAATGCTCATATGTGTTTCTTATGCAACAATGAAGTTCTGTTCGTATCGTCAAAACAGTGTCGGCCCATAACTTTGTTCAGGCAATTAAAATTGCATGCAATACAGCGATTACTCCTCCCTTGCTGTAACCTGTGTTAGGTGGTATAAACCTACACATGCTATTTGTCATCATTCACTTGATGGTCAGTTAATGAATTTATAACAGGTATAATAAGTGGCAACTCCACTCTGATTACCCGACAAAGGGGCCCATTTGGCATTTCTCCTGTCTGCAGTCTGATGTGGCAATGATTGACAGATTTGTCAAAAGGTAGTGTTTATGTATGTGCATTTACTAATCTATACTGAATACACCTTGTCGTAAAGTGTCTGTGTAAAAACAACATCCTTCCTTCAAAGGATTAACCGCCAATACATTGATTGATTGCTCATCATTGGCTAACTAAATTACTGTTTTTAAAGAATAGCGGACATCATATATGCAATTAGTTGCCAGGTGTGCTATTCTGGGTGACCAATGACTATACACCAATGTAAAAAACCTAAAACAAAATATCCCTTTTTTGCATATTAGACTGTTAAAAGACACATGACATGGAACAGGATTCTATGTTGGCTGCAGATCAATGGCATATCGTTCTTTAATGTGGATATATTGATGGACAAATTCCTCGAACAAGGTAATAGCCTGACATTGTTGCTATAACTTTAGTCTGTTTAAATTTTAATATTTGCATTTTGTTGTTATTTATTTGTTTTAGCACTCAACAGAATCATTTTTTTCCCATGAAGTGTAATGAGACAGACAACATACACTGTCTAGATATTACAGTCACGTTATAAATTCACTATAGGTATAAGCAGATCATGTGCTTGTTATTAAGTTTTAAAATGCATACAAATATGATAATAAACTTATTTGGATTATAAGACAAAATATAAAGACGTTCATTGACTTTGTTATTTGTCAGTCCTAACACGTTTTATCACTGGCAGATGGTTAAACTTCAAAATGTTTTCATTTGTTATCATAATAATAAAGATGGAAATGTTATCGGGTAAAAAAGATTTCATCTTTGTTGATCAATCTACACTTATACTATCAATTGCGTTTGTGGGTGGCACAGCAGAGATCACAAACCAGTCAAGAATTCTGTGATATCATCTGGGTACTCACTGGATAAAAACAATAACAAAAGCAACAACCAGTCCACGGAAATTGCTCTGGATCAGTGCCCCTTTAAAGGGAAATTTTTAGAACCTTAAAGGCAGGGAGGACGCCAAGCTTCCCAGAGTGCTGTGTAGACTCTGCCTGTCTGAAATACATCAGCCGTGATCAAGATTGGAGTCATCAGTTGTTTCTTCGCCAAATTCTTATCCTGGCCTTCCTCAATCCCCTTAGCATATCTTTCATAGGCTGCTGGTGATAAAGATGAGCAGACATCACATCTGTTTACAAGGAGCATGGCAAATCTATGCACTCCCAACACTGTGATTCAAGCTGTCAATATCTGACCCAACTGACTACATAAATTCGGAATACAACCTCCTATCTTCAGGCCGCGGCTACAAATTTCCAATTGTGAAAACTAAGAGAGCATGTACATCCTTTATTCCAAGTACCATATCTCTTTTAAACAAATGTGAAGATACTTAAATACAACGATTTATGGTCTGGTGACTGTTATTTCATGCATGAGTAATAAGTTAACCCCCTACAGATATAAATGGAATCCCCTTCGTGTTCCTTTAATTCGATTAGTTACTGTAGCACATGTAGACAAAATGGCTTTTGCATTAAAATTTTAAAAAACGTTTTTCTTTCATATTTTTATTTGGTAAGATTACAGAATACCGGATACCTTCCGCCATCTTTGAAAGCACGCGAGTTTACTTTTGGTTAGGGTTAGGGTAAGGTTTAGGGTTAGGGTAAGGTTTAGGGTTAGGGTAAGGGTTAGGGTAAGGGTAAGGGTAAGGGTAAGGGTAAGGGTAAGGGTTAGGGTTAGGGTTAAGGGTTAGGATAAGGTTTAGGGTTAGGGTGACGTCACACTAAACAATATGGCTGGTAGGTATCCGGTATTCTGTAAGTGTACCTTTTATGTTTTTGTTCATAGCAAATGATAATACAATACAATAATCAAAATGACACTGGCTGTTGACTAGTACACTGCACTCGAGTTCATGGATTTCTGAGTTTACTGAAGCTTCAATAAGTGACCTGCTGCGTCCAGGAACTGAATAGGCGACCTTTTTTCCACTTTCAAGTTGCTATCTCAGTCGGTTGAGACGCTAGTCAAGATATCTGTAAGCCCGTGAGCGTGAGTTGTTGCACCATGGTCAATCTGAAGGCGAGTGATCTTGTTGGTGGATTCAATCTTCTTGATAGCTGTCTCAACAGCACCAATAGCAGCAACTTCTAAGTCAGTCTGGATAACCTCGGGTGACAAGTTCACTTCCACTGTAGTAGCAACTAAGTCCTTCAGGTTTGTGAAGGTTACTCTGGTCTTGTTTGGCAGAAGGGAAATCGTAATGGGGTACATCTTGCCTTCTACCATACTGTGGATAACATACACCTGGTGCCACAGACTGGGACAAGCAAAGGAAGTTCCATCTTATACAAAGTCTCAGCTTCAGCAATAATGTCCAACATCTCAGTAGTGGTGAACAGGAGAAGTCTGTGATGAGAGAGTAAGGGATGAGATGTGATCTCTAATGGGGCTGCAACATCTCAGTAGTGGTGAACAGGAGAAGTCTGTGATGAGAGAGTAAGGGATGAGATGTGATCTCTAATGGGGCTGCATCTTCTTTTTCGTCCCTGGATCACACACTTCCAGTGTGTCGCTAGCTGGCCCTCCACATTCAGGCGGTACCTGTGGCCTGCATGTAAAACTTGTCTTCCTCCCCTCTGCTTGCTGAAGATTAGCCATTTTCATTGATCTTTATGCCTTTTGCTTGCCCATTTTATACATCCTTATAAGATCATCCTATCCCAATTTTAAACAAAGTAATTAGTTTTAACTTTGATCTTTTAATCTTATATTAAATAGATAATTAAAACTATGTACACAATCCCTTTTACTCATTTTCAACAAAAGGATTAATCTTTGTTTATAATCACAAACTGTTGTAAGTATTTCACAGCTACTTTTGATCTTCATAGCTTAAATCCTTAAGCCAATTGCTTATATAAACACTGATTTTAAGTTGACTCTGTCTAAAGACAATGATATACTTATCTTTTTACTCATACATTGTGAGGGTCATTCTCACTTACCCACCACCCTAAAGTTATGATAAGGGATTAAAGAGGATTAGTGTACACAGGTTAGTGACTACACTGCTCACCGTGAAATTTGAGAACAAGATGAATTGTATATTTGTGCAGCATTGAACACACAAATACATTGATTTTCTACATGTATTTGTCACACCTTATGAGAATCACAATGATGGAGGGGACCTTATTTCACGGGGAGCAATAATGGAGGGGACCTTATTTCACGGGGAGCAAAAACTAAGAGACATCTATTGTGTAGCAGCTTATTCTGCTTCAGTGATTTGCCCACCTAGAACAATAGGTGGTGGGTAAACGAGAAGACCTTCCTTAATTCCACAAGGTCAAGTTCATTATCTCAATAGGGGTGCATTTTCTATTCCCTATTCGCCAATGTTTACTGTAGGTAAAATGGGTTGTAGGCGAAATGGGACTCAACCGATTGTGATTAGACATTAATTTGCCACACTTAGCAGATGTTTTAGTGCCAGAAGGTGAGGGAGCGACATCCTTAAAGCCTTTAGCTTTACTCATCGTACAATAAAAAAAGACAACTTAAACCTTGGAAATATTGAAAAAAAGAATTCCTTCGGAAGACTGCCAAGAGGGAGGACAACACAACTCGATGGATGTTAAATTATTTTATTCAATTAAACTTGTAAATCAGAAACAAGTTTCAAGAAAAGGGTGAATCAAGTGCTAGATGGACATGTTCGTAAGAATTCTAGTGAGATGATCATAGCTGTCAAACCCTGAGAGTTCCAGTGAGTGAGAAGCTGGGGCACTGGGGCATAGACCCTGATCAGGCCCAAGGCAATGCCCTGGTGGGGCAGAAAAAATGGTTTTTATGTTATTTAAAGATGATTTTTATGTCATTTGGTGCCAGTTTATAAAAAAAGTTCAATTATGCATCAGTTTAGAGAGGTAATGCGTGAGTGAGATTGAGGTAAAATGCATGAGTCTCACGCAGGATGCGTGAGAGTTGTCAGGTATGGATCACATACCCATCAATGAAAACAATATGGTTTACAATCCATGGAGCTCACTATTATATGCAATGTTTAATGACAATACTCACAATTAGCAAATTGAAATGTTGCCCAATGAGCTGTATCCCCATCACAAGTGTCATATTAGCTGCCATCAAAGTAAGTAGATACAAGAACCATATGCTGTGTTTGACATAGAAAGCATCCTGAAAAGGAAAAATCTGGAATTTATATACATCCATATTTACCACAAAAACATATGTGGAAGTTATTAGTCTTAGGCCAGACCAATTTTATTTCTTGTTTTACTGATTTTTGTCCTCAGAAAACCTAAAGGCAGGAGGGAATTTAAAAAAAAAAAAATCACCAGTCAAAGTATGTTCCTTCTAAATACTCAGATTATTATTATTAAATGTATATGGGGTAAAAAAAATCTAAAAACAATTTTCTTGTAAGTTTACATTTTTGGCCCATAAAAACATAAGGATTATATTTTTTGAGCAATTTTTTTCTTATTCTTGAAAAAAAATGACAGGCGGATCCGTAAAACAAGAAATAAAATTGGTCTGGCCTTACTTTTAATTTTTAGATTTTACTTCTTTTACCATATATTAATATGACTCAAAATAACTGCAACCTATCCACTTATACTTCTCAAGTAACACATATTTACAGGGAACTTGGACAAAGTACTGTGACAATGTGTCCCAGTCCACCCAGCTGTGAATGGGTACCTCGTAAGGATTGGAAAGCTGCAAAAACTTGGTGGGACAAAAGATTTGAAGAAGGTCAAGAAGCGCAATAGCACTCACGAGCAGTTCAATGTCAGCGTCATCGTTCACAAAAACCAGTGTCTGCTCGATGGTGAGAATTTGCATGAATTTTTTGCTTTTTTGCAAATACATTTCTAGTAGATGACAACAAATAGAAAGTTAAGACTTTGCAAGTGTTACAAACACAGGCAAGGCTTGTAACTATAAAATTGTTTTTTGTCAATGTGTTTTTGTCAACATTGGGCATTGAGTTCATAAGTCATAATGCAGAAATGAGACGTGCAAGAAAGCTGTGACACAATGTAAACAATCTGACAGCGATCTGGTTCAATGTGATGGATATTTATACCTTTCTTCATTATGTCACAGATTTTTAAAATTATTTTTGGACAAAACTGCATCATCAGTAGTTCAAGTTTCAGGGGAGCTAACTCTAGATACAGACTGGGGGTATGCTGATTAGTTTTGTATTCAATAATGCATTATGCTGAGAAAGCAATAAACTGCATCCTCTGTTACTCGAATCATCATTAAGAATTTACAATTTAGCGAGTCATTTGAATTGCAGCATTTGCCTTTAGGATTGTCAAACATGTTTATCAGTATTACTGAACTGTGGATCACTTACTAGTAGGGCTGTGCAATATTACCCGTAAACCGATATACACCGATACAGTACCTCGCAATACGAATATCATGATACGGTTCAGATTCTGCACTATATTGGGCTATCCAGAGTTAGCTCCCTTTGAATAATCTGTCATTGATTTCCATAGCAACAAAATGGCAGATACCTCGTGGGAATTTTGAACAAGCATGCAAAAAGTGAAGTTTGGAAATGTTTGGGGCTAAAAGACATGTCTGTGATGGCAAAGTTGAGGAGAATGTAGTTGTACATGTGTGCAATAGTTGCAACGTAATTGTCAAATACAGCAGGGGAACAAGCAATTTGACCTCCCACAATCATGCTCACCACATAAATCTTGTCATGCCTTATCAGACTATCACTTTGGGAAAAGGGAAATTGAATCTTGAGCCAGAAGTGCATGCCAAGTGTATGCCACAAGGCCCACAACAGACTATCACCCACGTGTTTGAAAAAAAGGAGTACCTGGCTACTTCACATAGAGTGATGGCAATCACAAACAAGAAAGCCCGTTTCATCGTAAAAGGACTTACACCATTACTTTCGTCATGTATTCTGTTCCTGAACTGAACAATGCCAGACCAGGAGAATCATGTCATTTTGTGCAACACACAACATGAAAAGTAGCACATGACAAGAAACCTTTATTTATATACAAAATATTCAAATGGCATAATATGGAGACTGCCTCGGTTGCCTACTGTGTAATCCTGGGGTCATGGTGACCCGGGTAGTGTGAGACCCTGGGGTTGTGTTGACCCGGGCAAGAAGATTGAATGTCCAGGGGTCTTAGGGGTCCAGACTTTTGTTAAGTGAGAGGGATATACCAGTCCTGGGGTCCGGTGACCCGGATGATCCCTTCTTAAGTTATGCTCTTTGGGGGCCACAAGCCTTCCATGCCCTGAGTATCGAGTAGCTTGTGACGCCAAAGTGGCCCCAGAAGTTGCAAATTGTGTAGCTATATATACACGTATACATGATATATGACCTGATAACCTACTTGAAGTACTAACATAAAAGAATACATGACATAATAATGCAGGCAGAGCCAAAGGGTGGCTGAAGGGTAAATGATACGGTTCAGTGTCTTGGGTGAGTGAGTGAGTGAGTTTAGTTTTACGCCGCACTCACCAATATTCCTGCTATATGGCGGCGGTTTGTAAATAATCGAGTCTGCTGCTTCTCGATTTGCCGACTGGAGAAACAATTCCAGTCTACGGCTTCAAGATACGAGAAACAATTCGAGATGCCGGTGGAATAGAACGCCTACGGTTGGTGGGTGGACCGTTTCTGTGCAGGCTAGGCAAAATCTGCCACTCGCCCATATCGAAAAGGAAAGACGATCGAGAATTCAAGTTGCTGCTCCCAGACCTCGGGCGGGAATAGCTTCTATTGAAAAAAAAACAACAACAACAACAAAAAACAAACAAAATATAACAACAAAAAACAAAACACCAAAAACACAAACACACACACACACACACATGATGTTGGCCTGCGCATCCGCATCGAACCCACCAGAACTTTCCAGAAAGATGGAAGGACCATATTCTGGAATCCTATAGCCGTAGTAGTTGCCCCAGATCCTAGAAAGCTATCTTCTATAGAAACCGAAGAGATAGAGCAAGACTACAACGACCTGCTAGACGAAAAAATGCAAACCATTGTGGTAGAGACTGCAATAGCCCCACTTCCAAAGGATACAACCAAACTTCTAGATGTCGAGCCTGGAAAATACATGTGGAGAAAGTTTGCCGCTGCAACATTCCGAGGGAAAGCAAGAATTGTATTGTATCTGCTGCCAGTGGGGGAAGATTGGAACCCAACCACAGACATCGAAATACCGACATATGGATACTTTCTAGAGAAGGAAATAGAAAAACTTGGCAGGGTAGAAGCCCTGCGGAAAGCAGACAGCTTGCTTCTCTGTAGAGTAGGTCCAGAAAAGACCAACACCACAAAAAAATAAAGACAGACTGGTGTCTGTAGTATACAGCTAGAAACAAATAGTCCCACCTGGGATACAGAATAGAATACCTCTTGCATACCCAACGATATACATTCTGCTACGATTTGCAAACCGTTTTGCTGTATGTTTGCCAAAGTGGCCTAGTATACGATCTGGTTGGTCTATTGGGCCTTCCCCAGCCATTTCTCGTAGTTTTTCGTCCACAGAAGAATACTCCATGGGGTTCTCTTTCCAGTATGCAGCCTCTGCTTTGTCAAATTTCTCAAATGGGAAGCGGGGGTGGATTTCCTCTCTTGTACACGATATGAATTGCTGCAAAAATATGTAGTTCTATATACTATATTTCCAATTGCGTACACATATATATATTTTTTTCTACAGCATGTGGTGGGGGTCCATATGTTTTGGTGTCTTGTAGACATGTTTCTCGACCGGTGTTGCGTGGTGGGCGGCGGCGGGTGGCCGGCGGTGTGCTGGCATGCTTCCAGGTCTTGTAGACGACATTCCATACAAACAAGGCGGCTAGCAAAAGGTAGGTCCACTTTTGGGTCGATTCTACCGTCTGCAGCACCTTCTCGATATCCGACCGCGTATCCTCCTCCTCGTCGACGCTCCCCTCGGAGTTTCGTTGTCGTCCTTGTCCAGCCTCGACAAGATGTCTACCAACAAATTCGTCGTTCGTTGCACACCAGCCGACAATGTATTCGCGGTTTGCTCTGCATGAGCCTCGAGCCTCCCCAGACGATAGTAGCAGTCCTGGCCGGTCAACGACTTTGGAGCTGTCTCGCTAGCGGACAAGATGTCCGCCGGTTCTGCGACAGGCAATACGGTCGTGCTGGAGTGCGTCGTCGTCGGAGCTATCTCTTCGGTGGGCGATAGGGTAGAAGGTTCTATAGCAGGCTCTTGCCATGGTTCGTACAGCCTTGTGGACCCAATACCGAAGCGCTTTTTGACCTCGCTTGCTGGGAGCACACCGCGAAGGGAGCATATTTCTTGGATCTGTTCCAAAGACAAACCTCTTTTTGGTGGCATGGTTGTTGTTTTCCTGGGTATATATATCCCATCCTTCCCATATGTCTATATGGAAATCCCAATCCTATCCCAATCCTCTCCCATTTTGGGAGAGGATTGGGATAGAAGCTATTCCCGCCCTAGGTCTGAGAGCAGCAACTCGACTTCTCCATCGTCTTTCCTTTTCGATATGGGCGAGTGGCAGATTTTGCCTAGCCTGCACAGAAACGGTCCATCCACCAACCGTAGGCGTTCTATTCCACCGGCGTCTCGAATTGTTTCTCGTATCTTGAAGCTGTAGACTGGAATCGTTTCTCCAGTCGGCAAATCGAGAAGCAGCAACAGTCGGTTCTTCCCTTCGTATTTCGCTATGGCAAACTTTTTGCATGTGTATATTCCTGTGGCTTTTTGGTGTTCGCTGTACGGAGGAACTGCCACTTCCATATCCTTGGGCCTGCCGTAGTTGGACAAAGGCGTATGCCAAATATTGCTCCATCCCTGTGGTAGCTCTGCTTTTCCCGATAGCTGCCGGAAGAGACAAGAATTTTTCTTCTTGCACGGACAATGGTCCAACAATCTGTGGACAGCTCCAGAAAGCGCAGGCGTCGTCATACAGGTTCTCTATGTTCGAAAAACAGCTGTCGAACACGATTCCTTCTGGAACCTTGAGTGGAAGTCGCTCCTCCTGGGGTGTGTAGTCTATCGCTTTCTTTTTCCAGAGAATACATTTCTCGCCTTCAACGCAGTGGTCGACGGCGCCACACTTGCATGTACAGTTGTCGGGTCTGAAGAGAGCGGAGAGTTCCG